TTGACCAAAACGTGACCTAAGCTGGCCCCAAAGGCTGCCTGACCCACATAATCGCATTTGCCATGTAAAATGGACCATAAAACATGTATCACACGACACTTTCATATTGTGACCCCCCAGTGACCTGACCTCTGTGACCTGACCTGGTATCAGTGACCTCAAATAGCAAAATATGTGTTTGAAGAACATTTCCCCATCGATGATTTTCAATGAAATGCATTTTACTCGATTTTACAACGCATTTCTTGAAATGCCTGTAAGCGGTGAAAATTGGACCTTTAACCTGACCTGTGACGTCATCGGTTTGACCTAGGTCAATAAAATTGGGTCACAAGGTAGTTCCCTGATAGGGATATCCAACACCGTTTGCCACTTGTCGCTAGGTTGCGTGGTTCTCGAGATCTTAGGGGGGGGGGGGGCAAAATGCCCCCCCCCCCCAACAGGGCGCGTTGCTCGGCAGAGCCCAACGGGGCGCGGGTTAACACTAGGCAGCGCAGGTTACATATACAGCGTCGTCAGTGCAAGGCGGAGCAGGGCAGGCCTGGGTGTGATGACGGGAGCCCTGTGGGCAAAACCTGCAAACCACGAAAGGTATGAGTCAGAGCAGGGGAACCCTGATCTGATGGGCTTGGCGGGTCGGTCCGGGTGCATTTAGGGAAGTTCTGGTGCCGATTGTCCGGGGAGCGATCGTGAATTGCTGACAGTGGCTGCCGACACGCCACCCAGCCATTCTCGCTCCGTGGAAATGAATAGAGCCGCGTGGGAGAGGGCCGGGGGTGGCAGACATAGCCGGGTCTGCACCGGTTAATGAGGGTCATGATCGGGGGACGGGGTACACTGCAGCGTGTTTAGGGCTCTGTGAACGTCTCTGACCGCACGGAAGGGCGCATCAGATCCCGGTCCCGCACGGAATGGTCGCTAATGGTCGGCGCCGGTCTGCACTGGTCAGGCACGTTTGCAGGCGGATCTGTCGCTCGCACACTTTGCTATGCACGCACGGACTGCAGTTGTGCAATATCCACCGACGAAGAATGGCACACCGCAGACGTGACCTGTTCATTTGTGAGATCGCTCGGTTTCAGAGCTATGTCGTTGCCCGTCGGCGTATGTCAATGTGGTGACTGACGTCACTCCGTGGGAGTTTGGCAACACTTGCACTGCGATGGGCCGGGATTTGAGTCGAGTTCAGTTGGAACTGGCTACCGAACCAGAAACATCCAGAAATATGACACTTGGCAGCGGCTAGAATGACGAAGATCTGGGACTAAGATATAGGTGCACTTAGACTTGCCTCTATGTCCCACTTAACACCTTGTGCGACATTTTTTTCACATGACCAATGAAATTATAAGGGGGACGTTTATTCGCTGTCCCATTTCTAAATGCATCGTTATTTGTTTTAACTGTACATACGATGTAGACGACTCTGAGACCTACACACCTACATTTCCATAGTATGTTAAGTGCTAGGAGCCAGAACTAAGGGCATACCGCATTGTCCGCATATATACCAATTCAGCTCTCTTGCTGTGAAATATACTGTCGCTAATAACCGCTAGCCGACGGCAGTCCAGTGGTGTGTCAAGGCGGCATGGTGTTAGGAAAGCCATTAAAAGAAACGTTATGCTAACGAGCAATTGACAAATAACAACCACGTATTGAGGCAGATTATGACACACATCTGTCGCTTCTGTTCACACGTTTCAAAGCTGTTTACGGACTTGTCTTCATAGCGGACAACGGTGCTCACCGTAGTGTGGATATAGGGTCTATTACACGCATAACGTAGGTATGTACAACGCCAGTCGCCAATGTCGAATTCTGCTATACATTCATTAGCTCAGTGCTGCATTTAATTAACTCAATATGAGTTAGTTATAAGCTCACATTGTGAAGTCATATCCTTCGCTTCTAAAATGAACAATTGAAAAATATATATTTCTATGATACCACACAGCGCAGTATTGCTTTTGTGGCCCTTTTGTGAGGACGCGTCGACTCTTCCGTACGATTTTTTTCTTCTTCATTGCGAATCACCAACTACAGCGGCCCTATCTGTGTCACACTCCGTCAAGCTTGATCAGCTACGATCGATTCCCTGCTGTCTTATGGTCGTGGATTACATCAGCCTCGTCATCGGTAAGCCACGCGGGAGTCATACGGTCCAACTGCGTCACCGCCCCGCCGCCGAACCGTCCGGAATAGTCCGCCGCGCCGCACGGCCAGCGGTCAGTGGTACGGCTGCAGTGAACCACACGGTCCGTGGCGCGGCGGAACCGTGGCGTGACAGCTGCAAAACACACGCTATCTGTAGTAACACCGACTGCCGCCGATTACCGACCAATTGCAGGTGATTCAATCGCGGGCGCCGAAGAAACGTCGATGGTTTACACTGGGTGGCCAGGAAGTGGTAAAAATGAGCTTTGCATGCAGAAATATTCTCGTGAGCTAGGAAGGAGGCATTCACAAAAGTGCATGTATTACTACGATGCATTCACATTGCCGTGCAGGTGGTCCTGTGGAGATGTACCTAACATATATGACTTATGTATTCGGAAAGGTATTTCTAGCAAACCTTTTCATAGCAAAATTCAAGTCGAACTTTTATGAATGATCATTTGATGTAAGTACTTATTTATAGACACATGAATATGCACTGTCTGTTTGACTCAAGCATTTCTGACTCATTGTCATGATTAATTCCAAGATGTTTGTAGCAAGGAAGACAACAAGCCGATTGCATGTGATGTCTGCTGTTCCATGAACGAGAGGTCTGCAATATTTCAGCTTGTACATACCTACCCAGCTGTCATTTTTACTGCGCCGCCAATATTTCTTTGTTTGCTATCAGTGCGGGTCGTCGACCATCAGATAAGCGCGGTACGATCTAAGACGCACGAGACACGGGCACGCGCCGCGCGCGCTGGTGTTATCAGCGCGGAACGAGCGGCGTCCAGAACCGATCTGTTCCTACATCTCCACTGCCCACCGAGACATCATGCATATTACACGCAGCATGCTGAGCGGGCACTGAACTGGAGATCAGCGTGTTATAGAGATATGAGCCTCAATTTAGCCCCCATCGCGCATTGGTGGTTTTTGAACAGAGATTAGCAGACAATCTTGTCTGGATGTCCAGCGATCAGCATCCGTCTTGATCGTCTCGGACCCTTGGGGCGGACGCAGTTCTATGTAATTTCCATTGATGCTATGTGACTATATGAAGAAGGATCTGATATAACAGGCAAATACCTATCACCATATCATGATGATCTAAACAAACCCTCTGATTGTAAACGAGAGCATCCGGGAGATGAAATGAATTAGCTCAATATCGGTGCTTATATAGTGGTTCATTAAATCGAGGACGACCAACAGTGAACCATCCCCGTGGAGCAGTAGGTATGTTATTTTAGTGCGGGTCTGCATTGTTGGCTGGTCCACGCTGATCTGGTGAAAATTGACGAATACCATACAATTGATTCTAATAAGATTTAGCATTCTGTTCAATTAGGTAGTATTGATAACGAAAAATGATAGTTATTGGGGAAATTTATAACGATTTGAGAAAGTGACTTGTTTAATTACTTCATCTAGGTAAGTATTGCTAAATCGTCACAGAACGCTGTTGCAAGTTATTTTATTGCCTTTGGCATTTTGATAATAAAACTCAAGTGATTCTAAATATGTTCCCTCAGTCTAGTTTTTCAATTCGAACAGCATTAAGCATCTTACTTAATAATTTGATTGAAAGTGAGAGTTGTCCGAGTTGGATGATATAGCAACATCAGCGGTCAACTTACCAATGATTCGCAAACCAGGCTTGATTAACATCATGCCCGTCCTAAGCCTCTTATCGGCTTAATTGAAGCGAGAAATGGTAAAGACAAAAGCATTGATGTAAATGCAGAGCCCTGAATCGTCGGGATTTAATCGAGACCGGTTCGGACTGAAGGGCAGTGCCGACAACGATATCGTAAATTCAATCAGAAAGACAGGACAGTAAAGAAATGGGTAAGGACTGAAAACAAAGGTGATTCGCTAGAAATAAGTCGCAAAGGTTTGACTGGTTGATATTTCAAAGCAAACGGCAAGCTAATTAAACCATTCGACAGTTCAACTTTGATTGGAATGTGGAAAAACAAGTCAACTAACTTTCATATTTTCCATCTTTGCCTTATGCTATCGAACTCCTTACTGCCTGCGCAGCTACTTCCAATCAGACTTGTGCCGTGACCAAAAATCAAGATCCAGGATCCTCAAGGTCCCACGGCAAATTCAATTTCTAGAATCCAAGGTTTCCAGGGTCCCACGGCAAATTCAATTTCTAGAATCCAAGGTTTCCAAGGTCCCACGGCAAATTCAATTTCTAGAATCCAAGGTTTCCAAGGTCCCACGGCAAATTCAATTTCTAGAATCAAGGTTTCCAAGGTCCCACGGCAAATTCAATTTCTAAAATCCAAGGTTTCCAAGGTCCCACGGCAAATATACATTGCAGGATCCACAGTCCCCAAGGTCCCACGACAAGAATGCATTGCAGGATCCACAGTCCCTAGGGTCCCACGACAAGCGTGAATTTCAGGATCCACAGTCCCCAAGGTCCCATGATAAGTATACACTTCAGAGTTCAGGGTCCACAGTCCTCAAGGTCCCACGGCAAGAATACATCTCAGGATCCAAAGTATTCAGCGTCCCACAACAAGAACTTAAACTAACATTCTGATGAGCAGGCTTACTTCTAAATATTCTGCCAATAGATGCCCAGCAACATTGAAAGGGGCAGAACCTATGCAAACCTGTGGTGGTTTTATCATTTACCAACATACTACATAGGTAGGGGGAGCTTCAACACAAGTCAAAGTTAAAGATGAATCATGATATCAATCTCTCCTTCTTTAGCCGGACAAATTCATAAAAATATAGGTAGGTAATAGGTACCTTGCATTTTGTATTGTCATGTTCTTTCAAATCAATCTTACCTGATCATTAGGAATGTAGGATAGCACTGTTCGGTTCGCCCCGGCTCCCGGTCCACACACTAGCTCTCGTGTCGGTCAACTGTATTGGCTCAGGAGGGGACGACCGGTCAGCCCCGGTGGCCGGCCGTGCCTCGGGCGATTAGAGTGGCCGAAATCAAACCCACAAGTCCGCACATAACACCTCCCCCCAGATAACTATCCCATCACCTCCCCCGCAAGACGTAAACACAGAGGTACAAAGTGATTAACGTCTAACGACATAGCAGGCACATAGCGCCATTAACAGAAACAAAAAAAAAAACTTCCAGAGGCGGAGGACGAGGTCTCCCGGCACCACGCAGGGTGTGGGATGACATATGTCCAGCGCTTTCTCAAATGTCAGGTCGGCAGTCTCTAGCATGCGCCTTCGCGCGTCACTGTCGATTGTGCCCACGACGATATGATCCCGGAATCGATCATCGGCACAGTGTTGGCAAAAGTCACAACACGCTGCTATCTCTCTCAGGGCGCACACATACTCGTCGATGGATTCACCGGGCTGCTGTAGTCTGGCTGTGAAGTCCATGCGGTCGACTATGACGTTGCGTTGGCGACGCAAGTACTTCTGCATGGCCTCGAGGACGCTGTCCAGATCCGCGTCCGCGGGTAGCTGGAGCCCGAAGTCGACGATCCGTGTCCAGTCGTCGTCTAATACGGCGATGAGGGCGGCCTTCTGTTCCGCTGTTGTTAGCTCACGCACACGGGTGAGCAGACAGTATCCGTCGAATTTTCTTCTCCATGTGTCGAATTCGATGAGTGACGCTGATGAGTGCAGCCTGGGGACTGGCGTCCCAGTCGCCGGCAGGCAGATCCGTTGCCGGGAACCGACTGTAGGCGGCACAGCCGCCGCGGCGGCGACACTCTCTGTAACCGCGGCCGCCGCAGGTGCGCTCCCGCCGCCAGTCGCCGCAGGCGCGCCGCCGCCGCCAGACGCCGTAGGCGCGCTGCCGCCACCCGCCGCCGCGGGCGGGCAACCGCCGCTCGCCGCCGCAAGCGCGCCGCCGCCGTCGACTGGTCGGGCGCCGGCGGCCGCGCCCTGCTGGATGTGTTGTAGAAGCATCGTTAGCTGCTCGTCACGCCTGGCCGCCAGCTCCAGCTGCTGCCCCAGAAGCCGAGTCAGCAGCTCTGTCGATGTCTCAGTCGCCGGTGCCGCGCCCGGCGGCTTGGCGTCTCGCTCCTCCTGCTCGCAGTCCGACATCGTCACACGTTAAACACTGAAACGCTTCACTCGGCAGCAAAGTACACACGTATCACACTTATCACAATAGTCCGAGTCAGTCTCATATCGGTTCGCGTATCACTGCGACCGCGCCATGTTCGGTTCGCCCCGGCTCCCGGTCCACACACTAGCTCTCGTGTCGGTCAACTGTATTGGCTCAGGAGGGGACGACCGGTCAGCCCCGGTGGCCGGCCGTGCCTCGGGCGATTAGAGTGGCCGAAATCAAACCCACAAGTCCGCACATAACAAGCACCTTACAGTTATTGAAGACAAAAATCCAAATATTCTTTCAGGCAAGATCAAAAAACCAGAAATAAAACCTACAGGCTTAAAAAAAATGGAAAATTGAATTGGATAGGTATATGCTTTCGATTTTCTGCACATTCAGTTACATAATACCTAGAGCTCTGTTCGCACCCCGTTTATTTATCAGCAGGCTGCGACCATGCTGCTAACTTCTTGGCTCCTCATTGGTCGAATTCAAGTGGTCTATTCGTTAGACCAATAAGAGGCCAAGCCGCGCCAGCAATAACCGACAGCACGCTGATATAAAAACAGCGACCGAGCAGGGCCCTGGATAAAAACTCAAATATGTTCTAAGTCTTGTTTGCGCGAGCGCTCACAGAAAAAAAACTGATCGATTAAGCCAATAGAATTAGAGTATCAGCGAGCGCAAGCCGCAAACCTTACTTACTGTTCATTCACATTAGGCTCTGAACAAAATTCCATCTGACAATTTTTTCGTCAGACGGTTCTTCGTCGGCAGATTTTCGTCTGACTTTTTCGTCTTGCATTTATTCGTCTGTACGAATTGATTTGGTGCATTTTTCTTCGGAGTGTTTTACTGTCCGGCATTTTTTCGTCTGGACGAGGCGGAAAATGTCCTTACGAAAAAAATGCGCGGACTTAAAAATGCACAGGCGAAAAATGCATAGACGAAAGTCTGCGGACGAAAATCTGCATACGAAAAATTGTCCGACGAAAACCTGCTAAACGGAAAAGTTAAACTGTCATGCTCATGGAATCATTGCTTATATTGGATGCTCATTGCGCAATGCCCATGGTGATTTGATGACTTGCAAATCGAATAAGTTTGACACTTGCTTGGTCAGTGGTTCAGGGTAGCTTCCAAGTAGCTTCAAGCCCGGCATATCACAACCCAGAAAACAAGGCCCAGAAAATATGTGAGGTGAGATTAGAAAAGAACTTTCCAAACCACCACTGTCCACTGTTTCACTTGTTTGACAGTTTCATAATCCATAACATTGATAATGTAAAAAGCTATCAGGTCTCTTGTTCCAGTTCTGCCTCACAGCCATGACAATGATTTGGCTCTGTATATGTCTACACAGTCTGGTTCTTGTTAAGTATTATTTATATTTATTGTCTTTACTTTATAAACAGTCTGGTTCATTTTCTCTTCATGTATCTATCTTAGCCCCTTGCAGCTGGTCGCTCAGCGGCTCAACCATGATATTTAGGTACTGAAGTGTTTACAGACAAAACCTAGTGCAGGGTCCTTAGTGGCCATGTGCAACATAAACCTCATGGTCCAGCTTCCAGGATTCTTGAGGTCCCTCAAGAATATGATGGTACAGATCCAGACCCTTCTCCTAAGATCCCATGACAAATAATAAAACTGGGACTGAAGGTCTGCATTCTGCAGGGTCTTGCAGCATATCAAAATTTTGAGGTCCTGACCCCCTGGGTTTCCATGGTTTCAGGGTTTCCATGGTTTCACGGCATATGAAATGTTGAGGTCCTGGGTTTCTATAAGGTCTCATGTTGATGTCACATGAAATGTTGATGTCCTGGGATTCCAAGGTCTTGCGGCATATGCAAATGTTGAGGTCCTGGGATTCCAAGGTCATGCGACATATGCAAATGTTGTAGTCCTGGGATTCCAAGGTCTCGCGGCATATACAAATGTTGAGGTCCTGGGATTCCAAGGTCTCGCGACATATGCAAATGTTAAGGTCCTGGGATTCCAAGGTCTCGCGGCACATGGACGTTTTAAGGTCCTGGGTTTCCAAGGTCTCACGACAAAAATCACAATGCAAGGTCCAGGATCCATCAAGGTCCCAGACCTTGGACTCTGCGAACCCTGGATCTCGGACCTTTTTGGGACCTTGGCACAAGTCTGCTTCCAATTCTTTTACTTGAAACCAGCTTACCAAGCTGACAACCTAATCATCAACGAATCTACGATGTCCTGGGAAAGACGTCAACGCACACTCACTACATCACTCTCCGCGAAATTCTTGCATACTTCATTCTGTTCAGCTCTCCCACACCGGGGCTGCTTCGCTTTCAGACCAGCTCTTCGCTCCCACGAAGAACATGCCGGCACCATTGTCTCGGAACAATGTTCTGCTCTCGCGCGGGTCACGGGCGCCTCCTGCGCGCGGCCGTGCGAGCTTCTGAGCGATGACCTCCGCGCCAGGGCATGCCGCTGGTCTCTGTCGCCGTGCGGGGTCCCGCGGGCCGCTCTCCGCCCCTGATTACGCTAAGGGACTGAGATGCCGTCGGACAGCTGCCCTCAGGGGACTGTGACGCAGACGCTCAGCTGCTAGGGCGGTAATGATTTCTCATTGGATCACTCGGATCAGGCAGCTGTGAGCTGCGACATTCTATCCGTGCTCTGTGCCATGCGCCTATTCCACTCTGCGGCTTGGTTTCCCGCAGCTGGTCCACGGCTGACCACCATACTTGCCGGTTCGATCCGCGCCGCCGCGCTGCCCGTCCTCACCCCTCTCCCCTCACCGTCCCCGATCAGCGCTGATATCGCGGCTTCCGTGGGTCCGCGGGGGTCTCCGAGGGGTGGTATCTAGGCCAGGTCCGGACCCCAGAGGCGGGAAGGGGTGAGCCGTCACCCGGCTGTCAGCGGCCGGCAGCTGCGGGGAGGGGAGGCGAGGTGCGCGGCTGTTTATCCCGTCCGGGGTCGGTGTTTACCTGGGCCGGGCCGCCAGTGCCTCGGGCGGCTCTAGGAATGCCCGGTCGGAGAGGGTTGGACCGAGCGCCGCGCTGATGGGAGTATCGGGAAGGGTCGGGGAGGCGGGGAGGGTCGGCGCGGAAGGGTCGGACGGGTCGGCGGAAGGTGGGGGAGCCGGCGTCCAAGGCTGAGAACGGGCCCGGCTGCTCCGCCGCCGCTCCTGCGTGATCGACCGTGCATGGCAGAGCCCGAGTTCTCGGGAATACCCACTACTACTGCCTGCACACCTGTTCTATGAATACCGCCGGAAAGGAAGGAGCGTCGTGTTTGGTGTTTGCATCGCCACGACACTGACAATCGACTCGTAGTACCGACGACGGCGGAAATGCCCCCTGTCGCCGCCGGTGTCATTACAGCGCCGGTATCAGAGGCGCCGCTGGCGGCGCGCCGTGTAGATACACCCCTGCATGACTCACGGTCACACGCCACCGCGCCACGGAGCCGCTGGGAGCCGCCGGCCGGCCATCACGGCCGGCCGGCCGAGACAAGGTGACCGGCGTGCAGCCGAGGGGACCGCTGCGCAGTCGGCCCGGCGCCGCTCCACGGCCCGGCGCAGAGAGCGATGCACCGATGTACTGCGCTGGCGACATTTTCCTGTTGCTGTGCGATACAGCTGACCCATTTGCCAGGTCACCAGAAACTCACAAATACTGCGACTCTGTGGTCGTGCAGTTCATCGCACTATGTGGCAATGTGGGTACTTATCTATTTGCGCTGCCGAAAATGGCGCATCAGCACGCCTGAAATTCACACACTACTTGTAGAGTAGAACATGATGCAAAGACCGTGATTGGCATTCCATATCGCCCAGGTAAAACACATTTTTGTTGACACAGCATTCCAGGCTGAATAGAATAGACCCTTACCACGCCACGTATCATTTGACTGTGTTTGATTTTAAGCCGGTAATATTCAGACGAGTACCTATTGATAATTTGTGATGAAATCAGACCGCTAAACAAGGTCGTCCAGAGTCAGAAGGTATCTCACAAATTGCAACACGGTCTGCTATCAGACGGTAAGCTATGATTAAAATCCTGCATCATTATAACTGGTCTCATCTCGATTGTGTCGATACATACTACCTTGAACCGGGATTCTCGATTTCACATAGCAATCGGTAAGGCAAGTTGAATGAACTGTTGCCATATCTAAGCCACTTAGCGTTTCATCTACACATAACACAACTACCAGTGGCGTCCGGCACTCTGCAACCCGTGTTATGCCGCTAACTGGCAGAGCTCCCGACTGGAAATCCGTGGTAAGTCGCCATGTTGGACCGGTGCAACAGGACGTTGAGTCAGTTGATAACTTGCCATGCACCCCATTGAAGAGATGTCAACATGGGATGGCATACGATTAAACAAGCACCGTTTTGTAATATCAGGTAAACACTTCAATAGCTACTTAGCGCGTGTGTCTGGCGGTATTCTGCTCTATAATATCGTGCCGCAATAAAGAAAGTAGCCAAGCCGGATAGGGTCAGTGACATCCAAGTTACACTGCTATCTATTATTGCTCAAAAGGTTGAAGAACCACCAGAAAAGACCAGAAAGAGAACTGGGAAAGATACAAGATGTGAGCGAGTAAATCCAATGTTGAAACGGGAATAGATAAAGTATGATAACGCGCATCATCGGAACAGTTTTCGTTGAAGGTGTGGTTTTACCATGGTTTTCTTTCTTTGGTTTTAACAAGATTTTGTTTTTAATGGGTGATGAAAATGGTTCACTTGGATTTATATACTTCTATATAAAGTGAGGACGTATGCTGTCCTTCACGGTGTCTTGGATGCCCGTATGAAGGATTCATTGCGAACGCAATGCAGTTGCCCGATGTGGCATGTATGTATTGGCTAAAGACTCACCTATCTACCCATAGCAGGTAATAACCGCTGTCCATCAAATTGGAAGAAAACGGAAAATATTTATGAGAGGCTGGTCAAAGAAGGGTGGTGCTGCGGTACGCAAGCGCATTAGATAATCACCAGCCCAAGACTAACATCGTGCAACTGCTTCGCTCCCGACAGGAACTGAAGAAGGACACAGAACAAGCATTAGCATCACTTCAAATGGGAGACTGCAGCTTTGCACACGACACTGTCACCACAAGCTGGAGGCTGCAGTTAGGCACACAGCAGCATCGTCTGGAGACTGCAGTTATGTACAAAACAGTACCACCAGGAGACTGCAGTACGGTACACAGCAGTACCTATCACCTACAGGCTGCAGTATGGCGCAAAGCAGCATCGTCTGGAGACTGCAGTTCTGTACAAAACAGTATCACCAGGAGACTGCAGTATAACACACAACAACATCACCAGAAGACTGCGTTTCTGTACAAGACAGTATCACTAAGAGTTGATAAATGGGTTATTCACGCACACGTCATCTCTCTTATTTGGAGACTGCAGGTTTTTAGAAGACATGAGCGCCAGTACTGGGAGACATACAACCCCATCTATTTAGTGGATGGATGGCTGAAAATTATACATAACTCGAGCACCAACTGACAAGTTGCAGTGAAATTCTCGATGAGCAGCAGCAGCCCATCAGACGCCAGTCACTGCAGCTGATATATTTATTTACATTCCGTCGGCGGGAGCAGTTGATAGTCCCACCAGGTGGTCGGGTGAAAACTGCCCCGGTGGTTCTGTCGAGGTGACAACAGCTCGCCGCACCCATCCGGTGCCGCTGTATGTACGTTCCATCACGGTGAAAGCCGAGCTGCCTCTCTGCCGTCGTGTTCTGACGGCTAACGGTCGTGATGCACTGGGGATGCTGCGTGACAGGCGCCCCAGGGGTCCTCGTCGGTGGCGATATTTTCACTCTATCCCGCGGAGTAGTAAGAGGGACACACAAAACATACACGCGGGGAGTGTCAGAAGCTGGGCCTATATCGAGACACCTGAGCAAGTGCATCCGATTCCAGAGTGGATCGACTCAGACTATCGGGCGGTGGCCGCGAGGCTGCCCACGGGCTCCCGCGTCTTCTTTTCAGTCAAACCTCAGGATTAGGCTGTAAATTTCGTCTTTAAATGTCCGTGGGAAAACGATCAGCCAGAAACTATCGCGACTGACCGCAGAGGATGTTGACTCTCTGAACGGCTTGTGATGCAGATCGACCGACAGGCCGATGAACTGGCAATGCACCAGACTAAAATTTTTCCACACATGTGAGAAACTCTAGAAATCTCCACGTCAGATGAGCACGTGAACAGTCAGACAGCTTCAATTTTACCTTTTGCTATCTGCGCCAGAGTTCTGGTGTGTTCGGATGGGTGACAACTCATGAAACAGGCAAGATTTACTCACTAACGGGTCGGCTAGTACACTTGTCTGGAAACACACGTTTCTTTAGAAAGTTGCGCCGGCCGCTGACCCACCGGTGCGAATGCTAAAGCAACAACCAGCTGTTTATTTAGCATAAGCCCGATGAATGTCCGTATACAGCTTTCTCGAGTCGCCTTAATCACGCCTGTCGTGGGGCGGCTGCTGACACAGCGGTAGCCGGTGCTGAGTCGCCCACAGCGGCAGATGGGAGGGCTCACTGCAGCTCATAGCATAGCCGAGAGCAGGCTCCTCTCCGCGGCTCAGAGGCCTTTCTCCGCGGCTCGGGCGGCGCCGAGTCGTTGACCGACCAGCCCGGCGGCGGCTGCGGCTGCTAACTGACTTAATGTCTGCTCGGCGAGCCGCTCATGTGGGTTTTCGACACGCTATACCTCGGTGCTAGAATTGCATGGCCGTGTAATTGCTCAAACGGAAACCGAGCCGCGCGATGAAACGCCTCTTCAGGTGTGTGTAAGACTTCACACGTGTAGGCCGCCCAGACCTTGGATCCGTTGTATAGTTTTCCATTGAAGTAGCTGTGGATCAGCACCTAGCATAATTCGTTTGGCCTTCTGACTGATGACGCGGCGTCTTTGCCGATGACTTAATGAATAACCCGGCATCAGCCTCGCTTCTCGACAGTGATGCGCCGTCAATGACGAGCATAATCTACGGTGACACTCGGCTAAAAATATACACACGTCTCCTTCACTCTGCAGTCACGCAGAAGTTTATAGCGAACCGTCAGTCGCGATTGAGGCTTATCACCGTAATCATCTGGTCATCGAGTGTCTTCATTTGGTGATACGCGTGCTGAGATGTGCTGCGGTGGGCACCAGGCCGGCGTATGTTGTTGTAACCGCTAGTGCTACCGCAGCAAAACGATCTATATAACGCACGACGTAACGAGGGTGAGAAGAAATGAATAGTAGGTGACACGAGCACTGGTAACTGCTGACATGGAATGCTTCCGCAGCAAATGGCATTGAGCTCAGTAGGTCGTCTATCGCCATAATGCCTTAAGCGCAATCATTTCTGATTTCATCACTCTAGTCGCCAGTAATGGTTGAATTGAAAATATTTCCGCTTAGGTCTGTAAAAAAGGAGTCGGCTGCATCTAAAAGAACTCTGCGTCGAATGCTGGCTCGGCGGGGGGCGCTGCGACAGAGAAGGTGCGACATCACATCCGGCAGAGAGACACGGAGCCCGTCACGGCGCGCGCACGCCGAGAATGGACGCTTTTTGTGATCGCCTTCTGCCGCCGGAAGGGTCCGAGAAAACGAGTGGTGTCTGGACTCTCAGCCGGCCTGTAAACGTCGCTGTGAGGCACCCGACAATGCCCGCCGGTCTGACGT